TTATACTATTTTTGAACACTTTCATTGAATCTTAAACATTTCAAAATCACTTAAAAGTATAAGAGGAAGAGCTAATACCTTTTCTAATACTATAATGGCACTATTTTCTTTTCTCTGTAGCAGATGAGATATCAAAATATAAGTCCATTGCTCAAGCACAAAATAAATGCATTATTTAATATCTTTTGATTTTTTTTGGACAGAGAACTTAAATCAATGTTCAGACTGCCAAATTATTTCCAGTGGCTAAGAACCAGACCTAGAAATTATCTATCTAGCTTAGTGTCTATGTGTACATATATATGTATATATTATATGACTGAGTATATATGTGTATGTGTGCATAAAGTTGTACACAGGGGAAAACATCGCCTTACACTTTGCATTTAAATATCCAAAATACTGTAATTTTCACTGTAACTTCAATATTTTTAGTTTGAAAGTTTAATGTGGACTTGAGAAACAAATACCAGATAGTTACTCATAAATAAGTAATTTTGCCATATATCAGAATGAGTAATTACAAGTATTGGTATTATTTCAGTAAGAAGGATATTCTATGGCAAGAAGGAAAGAAGTGGATATATAAAAGATAAAGACTTTTATTCCATGTTGTTTATAACCCTATCGATTGTATACATACCCATCTTACCTGCATCCATAGTTGTTATTGCTTCCTCTGTAATATGGCTGCCTGGTCCTGCTGATGTATGTGCATAGAAGTAAAACTTATATCTAGTGCTGAAATTTAAGTCTTTTAAAATCCAGCGTGTCTTGTTGGCAGGGATTTTTAAATCTAACAGAGGTCCTAATTCATGGGTGCTATTAACTGTCAAAAGAAATAACAAACAAGCATACTCCCATTAGCTGCTATAGAAGTATTGTCTATAATTGCTTCAAATTAAAATCATCAACCTGGTTTACAATGACTTACATGATCTTTTCAACTCTTTGACAAACATCATATATATTAAACAATATAGTCTGATAATATGATATTATATATAATATTGTATAATATATAATTATAATATTATATAATATAGACCAATATAATTTGAAGGGGAAATAGGTTCTCCATTGGCTTATAAAGTAGGGGAATTTTATGGTTGAATCACAATAGCATTTTTAATTTTGTGCTTTTGCAGATGGAGTCATTTACAATCAATAACTCCAAGCCCTTCTTCTAGCAGCCTGTGTCAAAGGAACATCTTTATAGATAATACCTACTTAACCTAATGATAGGAAACCCTAGTCCTCCACCTTCAAAGGTCTCTATTATTCTACAGAGCAATTAATTCTCAATAACATATACATAGTTTTTTTTTAAAAAAAGCTAAAACCTGAGGTTCCTTCTGAAGTGATACAGGAAACTACTGTCTTCCTTCCTTCCTTCCTTCCTTCCTTCCTTCCTTCCTTCCTTCCTTCCTTCCCTCCTTCCCTCCTTCCTACATTCCTTCCTTTTCTTCCTTCTTTCCCTCTCTCTCTCCCTCCAAATATAAATAGCAATTTTGTATTTTAAAGTAACAACTATTTTTAAAATAGAGTTCTCCCTCCCCTTCTCCCAATAACTTACTTGGCTGATATTTTAGAGTGTACTCAGTCAAAATACCATTTGGGTGGCTTGGTGGATCCCATTCCAAAGTGAGAGAGTCCAGGGAAGGATTCATAATCTTCAAAGATGATGGAGCACTGGGGACTTGAATGATAACACATAGTCACAAAAGAGGTTTATTTTAAACATTACAGAATTATTGAAATGACATATTTTGCCATGTGTACACAATATATCAAAGTTTTATTTTTCAATAACATGTTGATCCAGTTGAAAATACATTACCTGAAACATAAACTTATTTATCTTCTTCTCTTTTTTCTTCTTATCATTTCCACTTAAGTTCATTAAAACCATCCTCTCAAAATATATAATGATTTCTTTTATTGGGACCCAAATTAAATATTTTAAAGGAAACAGTACTTACTGGACTTTTAATAAAAGCAAGTTGGCTGCTATGTGAAACCACTCAAACAGATCTTGAGAGGAAGCAGCTGTGTTCTGGGCCACTGAGGACTGCTTTCCCCAACAAACCAGGTGTCTCCCAACAGTCAGAACATCCTGCCTGCTGGGCTTTGGGCCTGGGCCAGGATACCCAGGTGCAGAGCCATGTTTATCCTTAGAGCTGACAGCTGCCCAGGATCTGGTCATACAGGACAAAAGCCCAAATGTTGGCACACCCCCCTGGCCCTAGAGATAGCCTGAGGGTATTAGCTTCTCCATAGCACAGTCTGGCACAAGGGAGAAATGCCTGGTCTTCTATTCACTTCCTCCTGAGGAGGATGGCTGGGGCAGCACTCCTTTACTGATGAATGTCTCTTCTACTATATTTCCTAGGAACCCCTTAATGGCACCATTGTCCTTCATTTGCTCTAGCCAGAAAGCAAGGAGACAACCTGGACCTTCCCCTCTCCACTATCTCCCAGAACACTAAATTCTGGTAAATTCACCACCTTAGTCCATTCCCTCCTTGCTCCACATTTTGTTGCTGTACCTCTCCTTAGCTCAGGCTTACAACACTGCCCATGAGATTTAGACGCTTCCAAGCTTCCTCTAACTAGTAAGTGTATCATACATTTGGGTGATCATAGACCCCTTTAAGAAACTGATGACCATGTAAGGTGATGGTGAGTCTCACCTGTAATCATAACTATTCAGGAGGCTGAAATTTGAGGATCACGTTCAAAGTCAACATGGGAGGGAAAGATTTTTTTTTTTTTTTTTTGTCAGTCGCAGGGTTTGAACTCTGGGCCTGGGCACTGTCCTTCAGCTCCTCAACTCAAGGCTGGTGATCTATCACTTGAGCCACAGTGCCACTTCTGGTTTTCTGGTGGTTTATTGCAGATAAGAGTTTCACAGACTTTCCTGCCTGGGCTGGCTTTGAACCACAATCCTCAGATCTCAGCCTCCTGAGTAGCTAGGATTGCAGGTGTGAGCCACCGGCACCTGGCTGATGCTAAGACTCTTATCTCTAACCATCAAAAAGCCAGAAGTGGAGCTGTGGCTCATGTAGCAGAGTCCTAGCCTTAAGCTAAAAAGCTCTGGGACAGCACTAAGACCCTGAGTTCAAGCCTCGGGCCTACAGTATGTCACACACACACACACACACACACACACACACACACACACACACACACACACACACAAACTGATGACCACTAAAACTCTTCCTAGGAAAATACACATATAGTTTTCATTCTGTTTCAGGGGAGGAGGGTCATGGAGCTCCTTACATAGGGTCTGTACATATGTCAAGAGCAACTGGCCCACAGGTTAATATCCTTAGCATCCAGGATCCAAAGGCTGACTTCCCTCTTTTCCTCAACACTTCACACCACACAACTTTCCTGTAGAAGCAGTGATATTTCCTACCTATGTGTCTTCAGACACAACATTTTGTTCTTTTTTTAGTCCTTTAGGCCTCTGATCAAGTCTTCTACACCCGCACCACCAAGTTGTCCAAAGGACCATTGTGAGGCCTCATTGGGGAAAGCAGAATGGACCCTGGCCCTCCCCGAGGAAAATGGGATTGAGGACAGGCAAGAACCTGTAGTAAGATGGGAACTGGGACTCCGATGTTGCTGGACAGTTGCCAACATCATGAACCCTCAACCAGGAATTAGGACAGGGCAATCTATGAACTGAACTTTTATAGAAAAGATCTACATGAGTTATTGGCCCGTCAACATGGCTAGCTTGGGTTAAAATTCAAATTAGATAAAGCTTACTTTGGTACCATTTCAAACCTCTATCCATGAACCTTTTTTGATTGTTGTTTAGTGGTACCAGAGATGCAACCCAGGACCTTGTGCATGCCTAGACTCTACCACTGATCTGTATCTTCTGTCCTCTTTAATACTGCATTTTCCTGTCTCTCTTCTCCCCTAGGTTCCCATGTCCTTACCCAAACTCCTCCTCACTCTCCACTCCATCCATGTGTATTTGATTCATTTCTACCCTCCTTCAATAGCCCATAGTTGTCAAGATTTTCCTCCACTTTCCTACTTTGTCAATTTACAACCTTTTTTTTGTTACCTGTAACCACCTATTTCAATTTCCTGAGTGCTGATATTATAGACATGTATCACCACACCTGGCATAAAGACTTCCACCTCTTAAGTCAGCTCAGCTTTATAATGAATTAGGAAAGTACATTCAGAATGAAACTAAAAATGACCTTAAGTCACAGAAATATTTTCCTTTCTTGGCAAATATTTCTGTGACTTAGGGTCATTTCTATAGTTAGATTTCCCATTTCTGTTAAATCGCCCGTTTAGTTCTAACATTTCTCAGCAGTATCTACTGAACCTATAGAAGCTACAGAACGTGTCTCAGGTCAGAAAGCTAATGACCTAAATAAGCAACATATCTGCAAGGCTTCAGATAATGTAATGTAGTGTAGGGAAAATTTCTGGGGCAGCATTTTGAATTTTGAAGCTTTCCATGTGCCCTCAAGCCAGCTATGAGTGATATTTTGCTAGGTTTGGGTGTGCTGTATTCATTTAGGGGAAAAATTCCATTTGGTTTACACATATTTTTTTTAGGAGGCCCTCGCAGGCCATGCCAGAAGCTCCTGAATCTCAGAGGCATGTCCCTTCTGTACCTCCTTCTGGAGTGTGGAAGACTCTATCAGGGCTGGCCGGGCCCTCCCCTTTCCCATTGACCACTCGGACATTGAGCGCATAGTGGCTAAAGGGCTCCAGCCCAGGCAGCATGCCGTGAGTCTTGTTGCCCTGGAAGGTGAGGATCTTTTTCTCAATGTGACGCTTGTCTCTTCTGGATGAACTCTGGGCTTTCCAGTAGTAAATCTGAAATGGCAAGATGAGACAAAAGTCAGGGATGCATAGGGAGCAAACAAGATTCCTCATGCTCACAAAACTAAAGCTACTAAAGTTTTTTCAGAACTTTGTCCTGTTACAATTTATTTTTTACCCCCCACCCCACCCCATGTCTCCCCATTCTCAATATAGACCAGGAACTGGGCCTGGGCTGAGGTGTGCATGGAGTAGGTTTGATTTGCCTTATTTCTATACAGTCAGTGTAAGAACACATCCTGTGGTAAGCACAAGAGGCTCCTGTTACAATTTATAACAAAATTAGTAGCTAGGTGCCAGTGGCTCACCTGTAATCCTAGCTAGTCAGGATGCTGAGATCTGAGGATCATGGTTTAAAACCAGGGCAGGAAAGTCTGTGAGATTCTTAATCTGCACCAAAAAGCTGAAGTGGAGCTGTGGCTCAAGTGGCAGAGTGCTAGCCTTGAGCAAAAAAGTTCAGCAACAACACTCAGGCCCTGAATTCAAGCTCCAGGACTGGCACAAAAAAGAAAAGAATAAAGAAAACCAGTATAGGGCTGGGAAGTTGGCTCAGTGGTAGAGCGCTTGCCTTGCATGCATGAGGCCCTGGGTTCAATTCCTCAGCACCACATAAGCAAAAAGAAAAAAGCCGGAAGTGGCGCTGTGGCTCAAGTGGTAGAGTGCTAGAGAGCTGAGGGACAGCGCCCAGGCCCAGAGTTCAGGCCCCACGACCCGACCCCCCAAAAAAAATTATATATAAAAAAGAAAACCAGTATAACACTAATGAATATTGATTGTGAGGCAAGAGGGATAGAAGCTTCAGAAAATGAAGAAACTAAGTAAAGAGTGACTCTATAACATGGCTGAGTTGTACTATTTTGCTGGTGGATTATGAGTAAAATAAAAAATGAAGCATACAAAAGACTCAAATGGTTCTCTTCAGAGAATGAGGAAAAGATTACAATGAAAGTGATTTAAGTATTTTACTTGTATTAACTATTCTTAAAAATAACCAATGTTTACATACTTTTCCAGAGTTATCTACATATAACATACGGCTTAATTCTAAAAACCACAGTAAGGCTTTTTGTTGTTATTGTTGGTCATGGGGCCTGAACTGTGGGCCTGGGCTCTGTCCCTCAGCTCCTCAGCTCAAAGCTAGTGCTCTACCACATGAGCCACAGTGTCACTTCCAGCCTTTTCTGCTTATGTGGTGCTGAGGAATCGAACCCAGGGCTCACGCATGCAAGGCAAACACTCTACCACTGAGCCACCTTCCCAGCCAAGGCTTTTATTATTATTATTTGTTTCTTTTTTTTTCTTTTGCCAGTCTTGAGGTTTGAAATCAGGGCCTGGGCATGGTCCCTAAGCCTCTTTGGGCTCAAGGCTAGCACTCTACCACTTAAGCCACAGTGATGCTTCTGGTTTTCCTGAGTAGTTTATTAGAGATAATAGTCTTAAGGACTTTCCTGCCTGGCTGGATTCGAACTGCAATCCCAAGATCTCAGCTTCCTAAGTAGCTTTGATTATTATTATTCTATGGACAGAAGAACCGTTCCTATAACTTGCTGAGTAATTTTTTCCCCCAAAGTGGGCTTTTCCACTAAACCAAGCCATCACTCAATCAAAATTTTGTATTAAGCTGAGTGCCAATGGCTTTCACCTGTAATCCTAGCTACTCAGAAGGCTGAATCTGAGGATCCATAGTTCAAAGCCAGCCCAGGCAGGAAAGCTCATGAGACTCTTTTCTTCAATTAACCACCAAAATACCCAAAGCTGTAAATTGTAGATCACTAGCCTTGAATAAAAAATTTCAGGGAGGGCTGGGAATGTGGCTTAATGGTAGAGTGCTTGTCTAGCATGCATGAAGCCCTGGGTTTGATTCCTTAGTACCACATAAACAGAAAAAGTCTAGGAGTGGCACTGTGGCTCAAGTTGTAGAGTGCTAGCTTTGAGCAAAAGAAGGTCAGAGACTGTGCCCATTCCCTAAGTTCAAGGCCCAGGACTAGCAAAAAAAAAAAAAAAAGTTCAGGGTCAGTGCCTAGGACCTGAGTTCAAGCTCCAGGACTAGCACAGACACACACACAAAAATGATATTAAATTGTATGCACAGGTTTTGGAGAGATAAATTGTTAACTGACTGTGGTAACAACATGTTGTTCATTAATTTCTTTTAAGTGCTTCTTAGGAAAGTAAAGATATTTCTCAAGAGAAGTCAACATATATGCAGACTGGCCAATGTTAGGGCAAACAAACCAACAAAAAACATGTTGCAGTATAAAAACCGTCCTCTAGGAGACCGGAGGAAGACGGCGGCAGAGAAGCTGGAGGCTAAAGAAGCTCTCGCATAGAAAACAGTTTTAGTGTTCCAGTGAACAGTCCTAGGCTACAGAATCACACCAAGTGTGCCATCACAGTACAGAGAGTTTGGCCAGAGCGGGAAAATCCAGGCAAGGAGACAGATCTGAACACTTGTCCATAGCTGCAGCTGTGGCTGCAGCAGCAGCGGCAGCAGCGGCCACCATACCAACAGAGAAAGTCTGGGACAAAGGCTCCTGACCTGGCATGTGAGCAGATTCTACTCACTACCACCAAGAACTGACAAGGAACAGAAATCTTCATCCTGCTGATTGCAGACCAGGGATGGCCCAGGAACCAAGACTCTGTGAGTGTCGAAGGAGTTAGCCTCTCAGGGAAAAGCTACTGTTTGCTGAAAGGCCGCAGCCCTACCCAGAACCTAGCCTCATCACAGTGTCTCCAAACTAGAGGACACAGCTATCTCCCTCTTCTGTGATACTCAAAGCAGATCTTCCTCCCACTGAACTAGCCTTGGAGAAGGGTCACAAAGTCCTGGGTAAGGCAGAGCTGTCTGCCTGCTCAAATAAACTGACTTAAGAAACCAATCAAGCCACAGGAAAACCAAACACCAAAAGCAGACCAGCGACTCCATCAAAAGACTGGTTACAGACACAGGGAGATACAAGATCTTCCCCTCCAACCCTCCCCCAAATCAAAGAACTCTTTTTTCTACCTATTACTATTATGGTTTTCTATTATTTTTCTTTCTTTTTTTCATAATTTTTATTTTAGGAGTGAATGTGTGTGTGTGCTTTTTTTTTTTTTTTTTTAAATCTGTTTTGACCTTTTGGTCCTTCTTTTTCTTTTTCTTTTTTTTTTCTTTTTTTGCGTGACTTAATTGCTGTTCTGCTCATCCCCAGATATATACCTGATGTTAATTATTAGACCTTATCCCTCATTGTGTACATACTTAACCCAGAAACTCAATTCACAATCTCTTAGGCTTAACTTCGTTAATAGTAGTATTATTTCTTTATAGCTATATAACTTTCAAGTATGCCAATTTTAAGAATTTTTATTTTTTATTTTTTCATTTTTCCTTTTTTATATTTCTTCTCCTCTCATCCTATCCTTTCCTTCTCTCAATATCATTTTTTATACTTACATAATTTTTGTGTTTCTTTTTTTAAATTTAAATTTTTGTTTTTCCATTTTTTTTCTGATTTTTTTTAAATCTCTCTCCTATCATTTTGTCCTATCCATTTCCCTCTCTGAGATTAGGATTTGGTTAAATTCACTGTCCTTTTACCTTTCCACATACCTCTGATCCTATTTTTCCCCACAATTCTCCTTAAACCTAATAATTTCTGGTTTGTTGAATCCCTCTTGGATGTTCTTAGCCCATTAATCCACAGTTGTTTGATGTTGAATAGGTTGTATCTATTGAACTATATTGTATCTGTAGCCATTTTGACTGCAACTACAGGACTCTGGTTGATGCTTGCCTTAATATAGTGTTCCAGCACAAAATTGGTACTTTCATACCAAAGTGGCAGAACAAGCCAGAGAAACACAAGAAAAATGACAAGTCCGGGTATCTCAGCTCCCACTCAGGATAATCAGGTGATGGAACAGTTAATGAATAATCCAGAGGAGAGTTCCCAAAAAGCTCTACAAACACTAATGGTAAACATGGTGAATGAAAAGATTGAAAACCTGCAAAGGACTCAGTGCAAGTGTGATAGGGAGTGAGACGAGGCAAACCAAAGATTAATACAGGAACTTCACAAGCATGCTGAGGCTAACCAAAAATTACTACAGGAATCTCCTAAGCATGAGGAAGGTACTCAAAGATTAATACAGGAATTGTGTGAGCAGGCTGAGAACAGTCAAAGAGAAAGACAGGAATTGAGTGAGCAGGCTGGGAACAGTCAAAAAGAAATACAGGAATTGCATAAGCGTGAGGAAGCTAATCAAAGAGTAATACAGAATTGCAAAAGCGGGATCAGAATAGACAAAGATCAGTAGAGGCATTCATGGAATCCATAAACAGACAGCTGAAGAAATCCAGGGAGACCACAAAGGGCACAAAGGGAATGCTGAATGGAGCCTGTCAGAAGGAAAGGGAGTCCAAGGAAACCATAACTAATCAACTAAGTGATTTGAGAATAAACCCTGAACACCAAATTAAGGAAGTAAAGTTCATACAAGATCTAAAACAAAGCTCCAACAAAGAATTTGGAGCCATCAAAGCCGACCTATTAGAAGGAAAGGAAATAAAAAACAAGGAAGAAAATCTTGACAGTAGGTTAGGCCATGCAGAAGACTGAATCTCAGGGATTGAAGAAGATAGTCTAGATATTATAGAGAAAGAACATACAACTATCCAAGACAAATCCAAGAAATATGATAGATCTATTAAACATTTGGAAGATACCACCAGAAGGCCTAATCTGAGGATAATGGGTGTAGAGGAGCACCTAAAAAACAGAAGCTAACAGTCTAGGAAATTTATTTAACAGGATCCTAGCAGAGAACTTCCCAAACATAGGCCTATTCAGATACAAGAAGCTTTTAGAACCCCAAATAGACCAGACCAGAACAGGACATCCCACCATTACATTATAATCTGCATAGGATCAATCCAGACCAAGGAAAGGATCCTTAAAGCTGTCAAGGAGAAAAGATCAATCACCTATAAAAGGAAACCAATTAGAATAAACTCAGATTTCTCAGCAGAGACAATTAAAGCAAGAAGAGCCTGGAATGATGTATGCCATGCCCTAAACACAAACAACCAAGAATACTGTACCCAGGTAAACTCTCCTTCATAACAGAAGGTCAAATAAAAACCTTCCATAGCAAAGAAAAACTGAAACAATATATCTCCATCAAACCATCCCTACAGAAGATACTTAAAGATGTCCTAGCATAGAAAACCAACAAGACCACAATAAAGGCCAAGAAACCACACCCAAACTGA